GCGATTTTAAAAATGCGATTTTCCCTTTCATTTTCTCCAACGTTGAAATTTTCACGGAATTGAATAGTTAGTGTTGTCACTGTTTTGATTGGTATAGTAGACTATAGTAATAGTCTTTGAAGTTTTTTTTAGTAAGTCTTTGAATTAGAAAATTGGCAAGGATAACTAAGAAAAAAATTAAAACATAACAATTAAGAAAAACTTCCTATGTGGCACTAATTATAACCATTAATTTTAAAATTTTTGGTTAATTATTATGTTTTTATTTTTTTATTGGTTATTAACCAAATCAATCTTTTTGAATTTTGTTTTTCCAAAAATCTTTTTTATAGCCATTCAAGATTTTTTTTTTTTAGTTTTCCTGTAAAATAGGGAAATGGGACCAGTGAGTCTAGTAAAATAATTGTATTAGGCTGTGAACGGTATAATTATAGAGTAAAAGGGTAGAAAAATGGGTCCCACAAAATTAGAGTAAAAGTTTTATTTTTATCAAGTAGATTTTTTTTTCCCACCAATGAACTTGCCACTACATATAAGTGGTGGGAACATTTACTCCACTTTACTCCACTTTTATTACTCTAATAATGTATAACATTCACACTCTTAGGGATTTGTGTATCATTAATGTTCAACTATCTTGTCAAACAAAAGACCAAGTTGTTTGAATTAGTGGTCAATAAATTTCAGGCCTCAGATCTAATCTGGCTGTAAAGCAAAAACAATTGTCAACTGAAGAAAAGGAATTAAATTAGTGTAGAGAAGTTTTACAGTTTATACATTTGACATCAAGTGTTTCGTTATGTCACCATCATGTCTTCTTCTTATTGATTGTCTATATTCTTTGTTTTGTCAATTCAGTAAAACATCTGCTAAATGGTTGCTCAGGAGAGATTCACTGTGGATCTTAATAAGCCCCTTGTGTCCCAGGTACATACTGGTTAATTCCCAAGGATTTAGATAGTTTATGTCCACGTTGCGCCGAGACCATAATCACTCAAGATTGTCTTCTCTTCTTTCTTAGAGCTAATTAAACTTGTGTTCCCTCTTTTGCTATTGTTTTGGATGTTTTACAGGTTGGTCATCTTGGAGAAGCTTACGACGAATGGGTTCACCAACCTATCGTGACCAAGGAAGGTCCTCGGTTTTTCGAGAGTGATTTTTGGGAGGTACATCATTTTCTTTTCTCCTTTAGCCATCTTTCGTCAATTTCTTTTCTCCTCCATTCTCTAACATATTTGCAATGAAACAGTTCTTGACCCTTACAGTTTGGTGGGCGATTCCTGTCATTTGGTTGCCAGTTGTAGTCTGGTGCATCTCAATGTCAGTAAGCATGGGCCATTCCCTTCCCGAAGTCGTCGCAATGGTAGTCTTTGGAATGTTTCTCTGGACGTTTATAGAATACATTCTTCACCGGTTCCTTTTCCACATGAAAACCACGAGTTACTGGTTCGTCTCTCTATTACGTTTCATATACTTAATAGTTAGTACTTAGTATGAATCCACTTTAACCGGATTCTGTGTCAGATGCTAACATTATTGTGGAACCATTCCAGGGGAAACACTGCACACTATCTTCTTCATGGATTCCATCACAAGCACCCAATGGACCACCTTCGACTCGTCTTTCCTCCTCTGGCAACAGCGATTATATGTGTTTTTGTATGCATTCTAACCATCCACAACATTGCCCCACTATTATATGTTTTTGGCACACATAAACCCTAAACACCAAACCGTGAACCATATTTTTTTTTTCTTGTCTTATGACAGTTCTGGAACCTCGTGAAGTTTTTCGCAACCCCTTCAACCACACCTGCAGTGTTTGGAGGCGGATTGCTCGGGTACGTGATATACGATGTCACTCACTACTACCTTCACCATGCCCATCCAACTATATCAGTGACCAAAAGTCTCAAGGTAAAACAATGCCACATGGGAATATCTTTGTTTTCTATATATTGTATCTGGACCGTAGTCTTTGACTAATCCCGCAAGATTAGTTATAGAGAGTTGTCTGG